CAAACGGAATGACGAACTTAATATACCCTCCATACCTTTTTTGGTGGAGGGTATTAAAACTATGTTCGGCCAGGCCGAACTTTTAACACCCTCCGCTATTTTAAAGGAACTTGAAAAATATATCTAAATGAAAACTGTTATATGGGAGCTATGGGAAGACGAACGTGGACCTTAATGAGTAATTTTTTGTCAAAGGCTGTAGCACTCATTAGAAATTTCAAATATGAAATTTCATAAAATTCCAGTTAATAATGTCGCTAAAATCATTAAAATATCGAGAGGTATTATCATATAGAAGAACGAAGACGTGGGCCTGCATACGAAACTTTTTGTCTGTAGTACCAATTCGGAACTTCAAATACGAAATTTCAAACAAATTTCGGTGAATATTGTACCTAAAATCGTCAAAAAACCGAATATAGGGTGGTACTGATATATGGGGCCTATGAAATTAAGCTGAGTAGAAAATGTTCTGTCATTGTATGTGGGCTATATGATATCGTGGACCTATATAGACATTTCTCTTCCAGGGTGTAAAGTGCATAGAAAGAACTTCTAGTATGGATTTTTACACAATTTCATTATAAAATGTAGATAAAACCATCAAAACACCGAATATGGGGAGGTACTGTTATATGGGGGCTATACGATATTGTGGACCTATATAGACAATACTTTTATAGGTTTCAAAATACTTTGAAGGAACTCCTAAGCAATGGCTATAGTCGTGCGGGGCCGACCATGTGATACCCTACAACACTACAATATGTTAGAAGCACCCTTATGTCCAAATCCATTTTGGAAGATTTCGCTTTTGAAATTGTGTCATAGACCTTTTTGACTAGACACATATGCCCAATACTTATGCAAACCGTCGTCCTGTTAGTTACAGTTAAATATATCCAAAATGCTACACTTCTTCCCTGTCCTTTACTCTCTTCTCATGCAAAATTGCGTGTCGATTAGTTTCAATTGTGTGATGAGGAAAATTGTTCTGTTTTTGGTACATTTGAAGCCCTAAATATATTGCGGGTATCTTTGAAAACAATAGGCCTAGCCATTCTAAAACTACCCTTATGACAATTTTCGTGAGGATCGGACGATAATTGCAATCTGTATATAATAACTACAACCTGTGTTGTAAGGTGAAAAAATATTACAAAATGTACACTTGAATATTATAAGTCAAATTGAAAAAAACGCATGCGATAAAAAATATGAAAAAATGGAAAAAAATGTCACAAAATACTACAAAATCTATATTAACATCATTATTGTTATTTTTTTATGCGATTTTTTAGATTTTATACTTTTATGCCAAGAGGGCATTCTGAACTGACAAAATTTGTCAAAATCGCTCCAGCCATTCTGGAGATATAAGCATTCTAGCTAACATCCCCTTCCTTTGTATATACACATTGCATATATTTCGCTATATATATCCGATATTTTTACTATCGGCATCTACGTAACGGTCAGAATTGACGTGTTCGTCTATTTGTGATTTCGCCGGCATTAAAAATATTCGCGGTTTAATGGAAAATTTGACTTTTATTTATCACAAATGCTTTGGTCTATTTCAACCACTAAATGTTACCCGATGACCATCAAAATTGGAAAGCTTCTGCCCAGCCCATAGCTCTAGCTCCATGCTAATTTCCACGTCGATTGGTCCATAATTGCGACCTGTAGAGCAACTGCAAAATCAGGAAATTTTTCAGTTTTTGGTCCATTTCAACCCCTAAATATTATGCGATCATCTCCAAAAGCAATAGGGTTCTATTCTGACATTAACCCCACCTACATTTTAAATTCCGTGAGGATCGGGCCATATTTGCGACCTGTAGAGTGATTACAAATTAACATGGACATACGGACTGACGGACGGACGGACATACATAGCTAGATCGACTCAGCTCGGCGAGATAGGAAGATCCATATATACTTCTTTATGTGGGAAACCAATATTTCGTAGTGTTACATCATTTTTGGCCCAATCAAACTTATAATATAGGGTATAATGAATGAAAAACTTTCGAGGGTATTGAACCATTAGCTAAAGAGTATTCTATAAATAATAAAGTGGGTTGAACCGTTATATGGGGGCAACCAAAACGAAAACCCATATAGGTTTGTTATGATTTGTAAATGTTAAATACCACATGTGTAACAATTATGTGGAAAATGCCGAATATTGGTCAGTAACGTTATATAGAAACCGTGTACAAACATGGCCAATATTCTAATACCGAACGTTCAAATACCGAATTTTAAATAAATTCCATAGAAAATGTGGCCTAAATCGTAAAAAATGAGGAATATCAGTAGGTACCGTTATATGGGCGCTATATATAAACGTGAACCTATACAGACATTGTTCTGCTATAATAGGTAGAACCACTTGCAAACTCTTAATACCATATTTGGATATATAGGGAGCTACCGTTATATGAGGGCTAAACAAAAAGGTGGACCGATACCGACACAATACAAATTATTGTGCCAAATTTCTGCACTTCAAATAATGTGGGCTGTATCGTGGTATCACCAAATAGGCAGATATATTTGAATCGACTTACTATTTTATGGGTTCTACGACAAATACTAAGAGGTGTTACAAACAGAATGAAAAATTTTATATATCCTGCTTTCCATGATGACTTTGCTGATGATACAAAGCAAAGCCAATTTCAGCCACAGTTGGTTAAAGGCAGCAAACGAATCCATTTTTTTAATTATTTCTAATTTTTGAGTTTTGCCTTGTTTTCGTTTTTTTATATTTTCCATATTTTACGAAGTAAATGCTGCCAATTCTGAATAATACACTCGAAAGTAAATTGGGATCGAATACAACTTTCGACTTGTTCGAACTTTCGAATCGAGTTACATAGTAATAATAATACAGAATATCAGGGGGGGGGGGGGTTACTTTCTATGGGGGCTGTACGATATCGTGGACCGACAAAGCCCACCTTCGAACTCAACCTGTCTGCAGACAAAAGTTAAATTATCTTAGAATTTTATGCTGATCAGGAATATATATACTTTGTTATGTCTAAAATTATAATTTCGATGAGTTGCAAACGGAATGACGAACATAATATACCCTCCATTTATGTATGGTGGAGGTATAAAAAAGCATGTGATTAAATCATGTTTCCTTTAATGGAGAATATTCCTTATTATTTCTTGTCCCCTCCACTCCTGCACCAATATGAAGCGATGGTAGTACAACTTGATTTTGGCCTAAGGGTTAATAGGTCAGGCTAAATGGTATTGTCCTTTTAAATGTGCTTAATTAAAGCTTCCAAACGGTGAGTTGATTTTTCGATGTGTGCATCTAAAATTTATGAAATTGTGATAGCACAACGTGTTCACACCGGGTGAAATTAAAAAAAAAAAAAAAACTGCAACAAAGTCAAACGCCATAATGTTTACATTTTTTTTAATTCTATTGAATTAAAACAAAAAAATGTCGGAAATAGCATCAAATTTTAGAATAAGTTTAGATTTGTTCGAATTGGACATCTTTGGCACGAATTATGGCCTTCAAGCGGCCAATGAAACCGTCACACGCTGCCCGAATGTTTCTCTGCGGTATTTTTGCCCATTCCCGGCGAAGCGCTTGCTTGAAATAATCGACACTTTGTTATTTTTTAGTGCCAACCTTGCTTTCCAAAATACAGACACAATAGTCCAACGGATTGGTATCCGGAGATTTTGGTGGCCATTATGTGCTGGAAATGAAGCGAGGAACCTCATTTTGTAACCGTTCTTGGGTGGCGTGTGCTGAGTCCTGTTGGAATGTCCAAGGTTTGCGGCCAAAATGTTTGTGTGCCCAAGGCTTTAATACACCCTCCAGAATATTTTCGCGATAATATTCGGCATTTATTCCGATGCGACGTTCGATTAATACGAGCGGAGAACGACAATCGGCTGTTATGGTGGCCCACACCATCAGCATGGCCGACGTTTGAGTTCTGGTGGCTAACCGAAGGTGCACATTTTCAGCTGACCTCTTTGGCAAGTAAACACAATCATTTTCTTTGTTTACAAACTGTTGCATAACGAATGTTTTCTCACCGGAGAACACCAAATTCGGCAGTTCACAACTTTTGGCCAAGCGAAGCAACTCTTTAGCCCTTTTGAGTCTATATTCTTTCTGTTGCAGATTAAGTTCTTACACATTGTGAAATTTCAATGGCTTTACTTCGGGCTCATTTTTCAATATTTGCGAATGGAATATTACGATATGTTCAGCTTACGAGCCATTTTTCGGCTACTGCGACGCGGGTTCCGATCAAGTGGCTTCTTTAGTTTTCGAACCATTTCTGCTGATGTTGCTGTTTTCTTCCGTTCACTTCCTTGACGTCAGGCTACCCTACCACGCCAACGATAGCTATGGTACGAGACACAAAAGCTTTATTCACATTTAAATGCTGGAGTGCTCTAACGATGTGGGTTTCCAGCCAAATAAAAATAAATCAAACTATCACGCTTGAATTCCATCACGAATAACTTTTTTCTGGAAAATTCTCACCAAAATGCTTCTGCACGCTTGTAAACAATAAAATGAGCTGTCACGATAATAATTTCAACAGCTGTCGAACGAGTGGCTTAGAAATGACAGCAGTATTAAGTTGGTCACAGTTTTTTTCATTTCACCCTATGGATGCTATATTTATATATTTTTTGATCATGGTGCCATATATACAACTATCAAATATATATAAAAATATGTGTCGTATTGGTTTTCTTTAATATAATTCATCGCGATTTTTCTATGGATCAAAGATAACAGAGGCTCAAATCATTGTGAATAAATATATATATATATTTGCTTCAGGCTGAAAATAATATAACTGTTAACATTTACATTTAAAATACGATTTAAATAACTCTTTGATTTTTTGTTTCTTCTTTAGTTTTTAAATTTATTTTATCTCTGACATAATTTAATAATTATTTTTTGCAACTTTTTTTTTGGTCTTATCTTGCAGCCACCTGCCAAATTGTAATACTCACCTGCCCAGCTACAAAATGTCAAATCTATCATCCAGTACCAATAGCCACATATTTCGTTCACTTTCGTCCGACAGCCAGAAGAAGGACTGGTCGAAACGTTTGTCGCTACGTGGCATGCGTTATGCAAATTCCAGTGGCAGTACAACGTCGGCCAGAGAAGTAAGTTGTTTTTGGTACTGGCCATGGCTTTTGTTGTAATCTTGTTTTCTTTTTTTTGTTTTGGTTTTCAATTGCCTTCGTTTTAAGGACTCCAAAAAGAGTAAATTCTTCAATCGTTCTTCATCGCTGAAACAATCAATACACTCCACAACACAGCCATCTGTAGACTTGAATGTAACCGGACAGTCTGCAATGGCAATGCAGCCAGGCCAACAGCAGCAGCACCATTCCCAGCAACCGTCGACGCCAAAGAAATCCAATTGGGAAGTAATTGAACACTTTAATACCAGCGCCAAAAGTGGCAAAGCTGTTGTCAGCAGCAGCCTGATTGCGGTAAGAATTAAATTACTTTTTCATTTGGTGGAAAATACATCAGTCACTGAGTTGCATGCTGCCTACATAGAAAGTATTAAGATATTTAAAATTTTTAATTATTGAAAAAGCTATCAAAAAAAAAAAAAAAAAAAAAAAAAAAATCACACAAACCATACAAAATTGTATCCTTCTCTCATTACAGGCAGGCATTACACGTTGCAATATTGACGAATCTATTGACTCAACGAATTCCAGTTCCACATGCCATAGCCCAATGACATATCAACGAGACGAGGCCCAGCTATTGCAAGCAAGTAAGTTATGTTTTTAGTATTTTCGATATTGTGTGTAAAGCACATTCTGCTGCAATCAAGAAACTGTACAATTTTGTAGCAAAAATGCTGTATGTTCGGCCGGGCCGAACTTTGAATACCCTCCACCATCTCGAACGAAATTGGCAATTTTTGAAAAAAAAAAAAAATAAAATCCTCTTATCATATTATATCATAAAAAATACAGAATATAGTCGTTGTGTTATGGTCTGAACGACGACATGGTCCTGCATAGTCATAATCCTTTACAATATTCAAATACGAAACTTGAAAAAAATCGGTGAATAATGTAGGTAAAATCATCAAAATACCGAATATTGGGGGGTACCGTTAGATTGGGGCTATACAAAGACGTGGATCTGCATTGACAATTTTCTGTCTCAGGCTGTAGTATCCTATCCATTACGAACTTCAAACACCAAATTTGAAACAATTCCGGTGAATAATGTCGCTAAAATCAACGAAATACCGAATATCGGGAATAACGGGGGTTTATGGTGGCATGATACATAGGCATGTATACAGTTGGTATCTATCCCTCTCTCTCTCTCATTTACACTTAATGATAATTTAAGTCATATTTTCATAAGTAGTTCTCAAGAAATATTTTAATTAATACTTTTAGTGTTTTACAAACGCACAAAAAGAAAAGACTTTGCGTCTTTTGATTATTGATCCCGGTTTACAGGGGTCTATACGAAGATGTGGACCTGCACAGACAATTTTCTGTCTTAGACTGTAATATTCATTACGAACTTCAAACACCAAATTTGAAACAATTCCGGTGAATAGTGTCGCTTAAATCATCAAAATACCGAATATCGGGAGGTACCGTTATATGGGGGTTATACGAAGATGTGGACCTGCACAGACAATTTTCTGTCTTAGGCTGTAATATTCATTACGAACTTCAAATATCAAATTCGAAACAATTCCGGTGAATAATGTCGCTAAACATCAACATACCGAAAAAGGGAGGTACCATTATATGGAGGCAATACCAAAACGTAGACCTACATAACCCGTTTTCAATACCAAAAGTCCTGCAGACATAATACACATTTGAGTAAAGTTTTATCAACCTACTTCATTTTGTTCGGAAGCTAAAAGATATATATATATATATATAGAATTTTATGCTGATCAAGAATATATATACTTTGTGGGGTCTAAAATGTATATTTCGAGGTGTTACAAACCATACTATGGTGGAGGGTATAACAAGTAAAATAATATCAGTCAGTTTTGCCGACAGATGTATACGCCAAGCCTTGAGTAATGATTATTCAAACTGTTGACCCTTTATGTGGGAGGTTTCGAAGCAGTTGGACAATATTAACCAATTCGTACCTGACCTAAGATTAAAACTCGCAGGTTTAGACTATATCAACTACTTGCTATTATTTATATGAGATATGTGCATTTTTTTTGGAAAATGTGGAAATATGTGTGAGATAACAGATATAGTGGACCGAAGTGTTCCGTTTTCATACTTTATCTAATACAGATAAAAAATTTTTGTAAAATTTGTAGGAAATCGAACATTTATATCAAATTTTAATTTTAGCGTCTGACGAGCTTAATGCATATTCAAAATGTTGCATATTCCCATTTTCACAACACACCTTGGTTTATTAAAAATATTATGATTTGTGTAATTTGAAGGGAACCAGATGATTATTTCGGATTTTATGTGTTGGTTATTCAAAGCTTTTACCCTTTGTGGGGGAGGTACCAGAAAGAATGATGCGATCTCTACCATCTTTATTACAGATCTTGTGTTGATAGAAATATTGAGATGTCCCGAATTTGAATGGAATCTGGTGTGAGTTGTATGAGCTTTATGGATATACAAAATGTTCATCAGATGGAGTGGACCGATATATTCCATCTACACACCAGATTTATAATTATTCTCAATTTTGACCATTTTTGGGAAGGTATTTGATAGAGTGGAGCGACTTGACTTAGCACTGATGGAAATATATCTCCGAACTCGATCTATGTTTGACAACAATATTACGATGTACCAAGTTTGGATCAAATCGGATACTCCCTTCGAGAGTTATTGTGCGTACCAGCCAGCTAGCCAGACAGACATAGAGACGGACGGACATCGCTAGATCGAGACCTAGGGTCTAAAAACCTTATTTCGATGAGGCACGTTTTGATCGTATCAAAGCCATGTGGCTGAGGGTATAACAAGCAAAACTCACATTCGATGTGCTTTAAAAACATTTTACAAGACAAATATTTGCCATTTATAAGATCTCCCATCAATGGCAGCTAATTAACAAATCCAACGTCATATTGTAACAAGTAAAAAAGCAGCATACCATCCACCATTAGGAAGAAACCCATTAAAATTCCCATGAATAATGTTGCCGAAATCATCAAAATACCGAATATCGGGAGGTACGTTATATGAGGGCTATATGAAGACGTGGACCTGCATACACATATTTTTGTCATAGGCTGTAGTACCCATTACGAACTTTAAATATGAAATTTGAAATAATTCCGGTAAATGATGTCGCTAAAATCATGAAAATACCGAATATCGGGAGGTACGTTATGTGGGGGCTATAAGAATAATATATATAACTAGCTGAACCCGGTGCGCTTCGCTACCCCTTTTGATTTTATATGCATTCAAAATTTTATTTACGAATATATGTTGGATAAAGAAAAACAAATTTAAAAATTAAAAAAAAAAAAATATTGCACTAATTTAATGCGTTAATAAACTAAATCATTACAAAAGCAGTAACATGACATGCATACACGAAGGGTTTGTCCTTTGGATTTATTTATTTCATTTATTTCAAATAAATTGTTGTGTTGTTTTTTAGTGTTAGCCTAAGGCGTTGTGGGTCAATGGTTCTTATTAAAATCATATCCCAATCTGATCCGATTTAAATATAATTTTAAAAAAATTACTTTTACACCAAACTCCGCCACACCTTTCATATTTAATTGAAATTGGTGCGTCAAATATGTGAAATCGGCCGAGAATATATATATGGGAGCTATATCCAAATCTTAACAAATTTCCAATTAATTTATCACAATTATTATTATAACCAAATTCCGCCACACATTCTGAATTTCATTGGAATCGGTCATATATATCGTGTTTGGTGCATAATATGTATGAAATCGGCCGAAATATATATGTTAGCTATATCCAAACCTCAACTGATTTCAATATAATTTGGCAATTTTTGTTGGTGCCAGATTTTGTCTCTCTCGCTTTGGGTGCATCAAATATGTGAAATCGGCTGAGTATATATATGGGAGCTATAATCACATCTGAGCGTATTTGAATATAATTTGTCAAATTCATTTTTGTACCAAATTTAGCCACTCATGCCGAATTTCGTTGGAATCGGAAATGCGTATCGTGTTTTGTCATCAAATATGTGAAATCGGCGGAAAATATATATGGGAGCTATATCCAAATCTGAACCGATTTTAATATAATTTGACTAATTTATTTTCTAATCAAAATTCCGTTACATATTCCAAATTCTTTGGAATCGAACATACATATCGTGTATGGTGCATAAAATACATGAAATCGGTCGAAAATATACATGAGAGCTATATCCAAATCTGAACCGATTTTAATTTAATTTGACAAATTCATTTTGGCTCCCAATTCCGTTAGTTATTTTAAATTTCATTACAATTGGAAATACATGTCGTGTTTGGTCCACCAAATACATGAAATCGGCCGAAAATGTATAGCATTTTCAGATTAAATGAAACTTTTTGCAATTCAAATGAAACTTTTTGCAGCGGGAATGAAACCTTTTGCAGTGGAATTGAAACCTTTTGCAGTGGAAATGAAACCTTTTGCAGTGGAAATGAAACCTTTTGCAGCGGGAATGAAACCTTTTGCAACCGAAATGAAACCTTTTGCAACCGAAATGAAACTTTTTGCAAATCAAATGAAACTTTTAGAATTTTAGAAGAAAAAATAACAAAACATTTTTATTTTTAGTAGGTTTAAAATTAAATCAACTAATTATAACTAATATATAGTTAAAGAGGAATTTTTATTGATTATTAATATCTATGTTTTTATAATTTTTTTAAAGCTTCCATAAAACACAAGTGTAGATGCAGAAAGATTGAAAAAAGTTTTTTCAAGGTATTTTTTTCAAAGGACCCGAATTAGGTACCTTTTTATAATCTCCTCCATGGAAAGGGGGATATAATAAATTTGTCATTCGGTTTGTAACACCTCTAAATATTCGTCGTAGACCCCATAAAGTATATAAAATCATGATCATAGTTGATTTAATGATCAATAAAGCTGCGAAGCGGGAATCCTTTATTAGGTAAGATTAATAGTATACTATAACTATAAACATTGTGGTAAAGCTTAATTTCACATTTCAGTCCTGGCCATACCTATAAAGGCCAAAATTTGTTTAAATTTCTCTTTTTATCGTTAAGCATTTGGGATTTAATAATATGGAAGCATTGTATATCAAATCAATAAAGAACCATTTGTTATTACAATAATTGAAAATTTCAGAAATAATATAAATAAATGTAGATATTTATAATCAATAAAAAATCCTCTTTGTCAATGTATTAGTTATAATTAATTGATTTAATTTAAAAACTACTAAAAATAAAAATGTTTCGTTGTTTTTCCTTCTATAAATTTAAAAGTTTCATTTGATTTGCAAAAAGTTTCATTTCGGTTGCAAATGGTTTCATTTCGGTTGCAAAAGGTTTCATTTCCGCTGCAAAAGGTTTCATTTCCACTGCAAAAGGTTTCATTTCCACTGCAAAAGGTTTCAATTCCACTGCAAAAGGTTTCAATTCCGCTGCAAAAAGTTTCATTTGAATTGCAAAAGGTTTCATTTAATCTGAAAATGCTATTTATGGGAGCTATATCCAAATCTGAACCGATTTCAATATAATTTGGGAAATCAATTTTTTAGATAAAATCTATCACACGTTTCAAATTTCACTCCGTAATATGCACTCCGTAACAAAGATATTCAGGGAAATATATCAAATACAGCTCAGAAATATCTTTGCTAAATTTTATCGAGATCTGTTCAGATTTGGATATAGCTCCCATATATATTTTTATCCGATTTTAAATTATTTGTGCACCAAATGGGCAACACAAGTCGGAATTTAAAAGATTCAAATGCTTCGGCATATTTAGTCCTTTGAACTTTTAATTATAATTATAATCATATCGTGTTTGATTGAATTTTCCCATAAAAACTTTTAATTGTTATGCGGAGCTCTACTAAATTAGTAAAGTGGTGTAGGGTATCATAAAGTCGGCCCCGTCCGACTTTAAGACTTTCTTTACTGGTTTCTACCTTAACAAATCTTATATCCTATGTTGCCATAAGGTTGGGGATATTTTTTATTAGAATTTTTCTCGTCTAGCCGGAACTTGAATATGATCAAAAAATCATTTTAATTGGACAAGCGTTATATGCTTGAGATATGAGAGAATTATATATAGTAGTTTAACGAATCTGTAAGATTTCGCCTACATATCTTGTACCGTGTTATCATACTGTGGTACCGGGTATTATGTCATTGTGCATCAAAAGGCAGCCACCTATAGTTAATTTTGAATATCTCCCTAGAATCATATATTGAGCCGATTAATGCATGTCCTTCCGTCTGTCCACGTATTTTCGTACACAAAGTACAGGTTGAATTTATTGTCCGATTGAGTTGAAATTTTCCAAAAAGTATTTGTTTGGCCCAAGCACTAAACAAATTTAAATTGCTGATAGTAGGTCACTATTTAGATATAGCTTCCATATATATTTTTTATATGTGTTCTATCAGACCAAATAAGATGGATTTTCGTACATATATTTTAAAATAAAGTTGACTATTTTTGTTTGTGTAAAGGAAATAGTTTCTAGTAAAAAAGTTACAAAAATGATTAAAACCGAATGTGCAAAGCCATTGTCATTTAATTTTTGTACTCCTTCTTACCATAGCGTAATTCTACTAGCTTTGTTATAACTGAAAATTTAAAAAACTGACACAATAATATTTCATAGGTATTTACATATTCAATTGTACAAAGATGGACGGAGAATAAAAAAATCATTAAGACTTATATAAATATAAAAATATTACATTTAATATGATTTCTAATAGCTTCAATGAATTTGCTGGCTAATAACATTTAAGGAATTTGTTCTCCCCATAAATCCCTCTTTGTGGAGAATTGTAATATTGTTCATGCTATCTGGGGAACAAAATATCCCATAAAAATAAAAAAATCATCAAAATGAAATATTGTTTTTTCTTCTTCTTCTTCCCTGCATTTATTCACATAGTTCTGATTTTTTCTTGTTGCCTTTTGCAGATGACGAGTCGTCGGAGGCACAACAACGTAACACGGAGGCCAATGCAAACATGAATGCCAATCTGAGTCCAACGATATCATTCTGGTTTCGCTTGAACCGCACCATTTTGAGACTCTGTAGTACACATCAATTTAAAAATTTACAGGTGAGTGAATTGCCGTAAAGATAAATGTCATTGTTTTTCTCCATTCTCCTCTTTTTTTTTCTCATTGAAATAAATTGAAAAAATTGCTTTCAAAAAATATGTAAAAACAAAGAGTGAGAGTGCTGATATAAGTGAAATGAAAAGCAAGATGTAGTTTAATACATTTTGAAGTTATTAAATAAGTTTAAGAATAAATAGGACTATTAGCTAAGTTCGGCAGGAACTTTTTATACACCCCACCAATCGGAAAGAACTTGAAAATTTGCAAAAAAAAATTGTTGAAAAATACGACTCAAATGAAAACTTTCATATGTGGGCTATACGAAGAGCTAATTTTTTGTGATAGGCTGTAGTAACGGTTCCGAACTTCCAATACGAAATTTGACGCAATTCCGGTGAATAATGTTGCATATCATCAAAATACCCCATACCGTTGTATGGGGGAGACCTGCAAAGACAATTTCCCGTTGTGGATTTTTAGACTATTTCCACCATACCAAATATCTGGAGGTGCAGTTATATGGGGGCTATACGATATCGTGGGCCGAAATACCACATCTTCGAACCTGCCTGCTGGCAAAATACAGATCGGTGCTAAATTTTACCTTCCTATCTTTATTCGTTTTGACACTAGCCTGATTACAATAGACGGACCGACGGACCAAGCTAAATCATTTTAGAATTTTACGCTGATCAAGAATATATATAGTTTATTGGGTCTAAAATTATTATGTCGATTAAAAAAAAAAAAAAAAAAAAAATAATAATAATAATAATAATAATAATAATAATAATAATAATAATAATAATAATAATAATAATAATAATAATAATAATAATAATAATAATAATAATAATAATAATAATAATAATAATAATAATAATATAATAATAATAATATAATAATAATAATAATAATAATAATAATAATAATAATAATAATAATAATAATAATAATAATAATAATAATAATAATAATAATAATAATAATAATAATAATAATAATAATAATAATAATAATAATAATAATAATAATAATAATAATAATAATAATAATAATAATATAATAATAATAATAATAATAATAATAATAATAATAATAATAATAATAATAATAATAATAATAATAATAATAATAATAATAATAATAATAATAATAATAATAATAATAATAATAATATAATAATAATAATAATAATAATAATATAATAATAATAATAATAATAATAATATAATAATAATAATAATAATAATAATAATAATAATAATAATAATAATATAATAATAATAATAATAATAATAATAATAATAATAATAATAATAATAATAATAATAATAATAATAATAATAATAATAATAATAATAATAATAATAATAATAATAATAATAATAATAATAATAATAATAATAATAACAATAACAATAATAATAATAATAATAATAATAATAATAATAATAATAATAATAATAATAATAATAATAATAATAATAATAATAATAATAAATTAAATAAAGTCAGGCAGAACCAACCAGCCGTAATATGTGCCTAACGGACACCACACTGTGGTACAGGGTATTGTGTCCTTGAGCATTTGTTTGTAACATTCTGAAGGAAACGAAATATATAGAATAGACTTCCTTTTGAGGATCTTCATAGAATGATTTTCAGAGTCGATTTATGCATGTTAGTCCGTTCTGAAGGAAACGAAATATATAGAATAGACTTCCTTTTGAGGATCTTCATAGAATCATTTTCAGAGTCGATTTATGCATGTTAGTCCGTCCGTCTAGATGCTCTTTCCGACATTTTTTGCCTTCATTCAATAAAATTAAAAAAAATTTGAAAATAATGCGTTTGACATTGTTGCACTTTTTTTATCTCACTCCCTATAGCTCCCATATATATGTTTCATCCGATTTTGTTTTAAAAACCGACACACCCGTAAAATGCTCTGTACAACAACGATGTTCGGTCCGATCTATCCGATACAGCATAGAACTTCCTCTGCTAAATTTTATAGAGATCGGTTCAGATTTGGATATATTTATTATTTGGATACATTTATTATATTGTACCTAAAAAGCGTAATATCAGCTCATATAAGAAGGATTTTGATAAATATCGTTTCAATCCGTCAAATTTAGTGGAAATCGATGAAGAGAAGGAAATATATGCCTATGTTAGTTCATTTCGACGTTAAATTATATGTGCCTTAAAGCCATAATACGCATTCGAAAAACGTTTATTTGTTATGGGTAGCTCAACTAAATATACAAATTGGTGGAGGGTATCATAAAGACGGTCCGCCCGACTTTGTGCCTTTCTTTATTGGTTAGAAATTTATTTGACAGAAAAGTACGATTTTATTCAACTGTATGCATTTATCTTATGTGAGCTAACTATTTTCGATGTGTATTGAAATTTGTCGTTCAATTTATAAGAATTTTTAAAAATGGTGGTCTTTTATTAAATAATACAGCTTTTGGGTTAAAAAATCACTCATAAATTCACTTAATATAATTTGTCTTAATATAAAATGTCTAATCGAATGGTTTGACAGCCAGCGTATACGGTGTCCTCATTTAAAAATTTGCTACCATTTTTTTACACTTTTCAGCATTTAAAACAATCCAAGAATTTCCAGAACAGTTTAAAATATATTTTCTTTCTCTCTCTCCCCATATTGACCCAAATTTAACAGTGTTGAAATTTCCAGCTGCACTTCCATGTGTTGAGTCGTTAAATACGCGGTGAAAATACACAATACGGAAGTTGTATTGCCAACCTACTCATTTGGCATTATCTTGATATGCCATCTTGAAATACAAACGTTTGGCCAAAATGTGAAGTGAATTTTACAATTGCCACCAATGACCCACTTGTTTGCAGGAGAAGTGTAGACGTGAATGTATTTGCATATGTATGTATCTGCACTTGTTCTCACTTTAACTGCGAATGTATTGCATTTATTCAATATGCACTATGGAATTTATAAAAAAAATCAAGAATCTCTTTGCCGTAAACCCAGTTTGAAAACGAGTTGATTAACTGTGAAACAGAATCGTTAAAGAAAGCAATGTTTTTGAAGTCGTTAAATGAATTAAGTGGCAATTTTTCAGGGGTGTACGAAATAATATTTAAAACTTCCTTTCAATGGGATTTATTCAAACATATATTGGAAATATATATATACAAAGCGCCTTAAACATTTTGTTTCGCACAATTTAAGATTTTTCATTTTATCCATATTTTTTGTACTAATTTCGGAAAAATTTGGTAATTTGAATTCCTAATAAGAAAAAACTATCCTTGCAAATAATTATCAATATAGGCCCACGTTTTCAATTGATTTGGCCCATATATGGTATTTTGGTTTCTAAGGGGATAGAAAACTTCTTCGCAGAAAATTGTCAATGTAAGTCGATGTTTGGGAGTAGCTCCCATATAAAGGTACCTCCTGATTTTACCTATTTTGAGGGTCTTGGCCTCTTTTTCCAAACGATTTGACTAACAATAGAGGTATATATACCAATAGGTACTATACTAATACCTCCAAATCCTTTTTGCCAACCAATATTCGGCCGAACTTTCACTACCCTCCAAATTAAACTGCAAATACCACTGAGATCAGTTGGAGAATGCAGCTAAAACAAAATAAAGTGGGTGGACCCGTTATGTGGGGGTGATTTTAAAACGGGAACCTATAAAATTCATATTTTGCCTATAGGGTAAGTGTGCCTAAGTTCGGCATGTCCCAGTAGTCGGCACTTTTTTTTTTAAGCCCAAATAAATGAAACTATTGTAACTAAATGTATTTTGTTTACTTCAAATATATTGTCAGCTATCTTTGTGCACAATTTCGCTAAGAAAAGATGAATTATTCTAATAAAAATTAAATTTTTGTCTGTGAAGGTCCTCGACAATTCATATTCTTAAGAAAAGTACAATAAAGACGTCGAATCAGTTTAACTAAACAAAAATATTATATTTTAATGAATTAATTTATTATTATTATTAATTATTCTTACAAAAAAAATGGTATGCCGACTGCTGGAACATGCGATACCGACAATTGGCAAGTGGTGCCGACTACTGGCAAAAAAGCATTGTTTTAATAAAACTACAAATTTATGAAATTTAATAAAAAGTTATTAAAACTTTATTTATTATTGCAAAAACTATACAAAATTTCGAATCTGAATAAATTAACTTTGTAATAATTGAAATGTTCCACTCAAAATGGTGAGCGATTAAAAACGCGAAAATCCTAAAAGTGCCGACTACTGGTACACTTACCCTATAGACAATATTCTACTACAAAGATTTTTACCTATTGTGAGTCTTAAATACTGCATTTGAATCAATTCCGTGGAAAAATCAAAATACTGAACATCGGTGGATATCGCTGTAAAATCCATAATGAACTACAAATACCAAAAGAAATTCAATGGAAATATAGTCTAAATCGCAAAATATTTATATTTAGACAGTTCTCCGCAAGGATGTTTCTTACTTACTGAGAACACAAACTGCCAAATAACAGAAAATTCGAGTTAAAATTATTACTCAAAAACCCAAAATACCTTAAATCGGCCAGTACAATTGTATGGGGACTACACCAAAACGTGGACATATATGTGGCCCATTTTCACGTATTGCTCAATATAAGGTTTCCCACATATTTCACATTTTGATGACTTTAGCCACACTTTTCCGAACTTGGCCTTTCACAATGTGGTGTCCGTTGGAATTGCAATTTTCGAATTTCGAAAAAAGGAAAGTTATGATGAATTGTGCTAGGTTTGTGCTCGATTGTGCCGAAATTTTTTTTTCGAAAGTCGAAAAAATTTCTGAGATATTCGAAAAAAGAATTTTTTTCGAAAAAATCTGAGAGAATTGCAATTTTCGAATTTCGAAAAAATTAAAGTTGTGCTGAGTCGTACTCGGTTTGTGCCCATTTGTGCCGTTAAAATTTTTTCGATATCTCTTACCAATTTCGAAAAAAACGATAATTTCGAAAGTATGTTAGAATTGCAATTTTCGAAAAAATTAAAGTTGTGCTGGGTCGCGCTTGATTTGTGCTAACTTGTGCCATTTATTTTTTCTAAATATTTTCAACCGTTTTCAAGATATGGCAATTTCGAAAAAAAAACAGTATTTTTCAGAAAAAATGCTGTAATTTTTGTAAAAATTCAAATATCGAGATGCGGTAAATTGTGCTGAGTTGTGCTCACTTAGCACAATTTTTCATCCATACGTAACAAATTTTCACCTTTACTCGTTACTCGCTAAAAATTAAAAAAATGAATAACTTTTGTAATATGTGATATCAGGAAAAACTAAAAGTTGGGCTGATATGTGCTAACCTAACACAATTTTTCGTCCATACATTGAAAATTTGTATTTCCACTCGTTACTAGTTAAAATTGGAAAAAATACATATATATCGAAAAATTGCTGTGCTAAGTGAGCAAAACTCAGCACAATTTACCGCATCTCGATATTTGAATTTTTACAAAAATTACAGCAATTTTTCTGAAAAATACTGTTTTTTTTTTCGAAATTGCCACAACTTTAATTTTTTCGAAATTCAAAAATTGCAATTCTGACATATTTTCGAAATTATCGTTTTTTTTTCGAAATTGGTAAGATATATCGAAAAAATTTAACGGCACAAATGGACACAAACCGAGTACGACTCGGCACAACTTTAATTTTTTCGAAATTCGAAAATTGCAATTCTCTCAGATTTTTTCGAAAAAAAATCTTTTTTTGAATATCTCAGAAATTTTTTCGAATTTCGAAAAAAAAAAATCGGCACAATTGAGCACAACTTTCCTTTTTTCGAAATTCGAAAATTGCAATTCCAACGGACACCACATCCTTTCACACTCTTATCATGGCGAACTTGAATATAAGGTTCCATATTTTTCATATATTCAATACATATTGGTTCCTTTGGTATTTTGATGATTTGATTGAGCCACATTTTCTATGGCATAGTATAACATTTGTCAATTAAAGTTCGTATTGAGTAATGATCACTTCAGGGGACGATTACGCATTTTAATGATTTTTATCACCATTTTTAATTGAATTGGCCGAAATTCGGTATTAAAAGTTCGAAATAGTTTCATAATGGAGTTTAATTGATATCTAATATTCCAGAATTGCCCACATATCTCGGTATTTTTTCACATTTGTTTTTTTTTTTTTTTTTTGTAGTTCTCACTACATTTGTTACGGAATTTTCGACAAACAAGGATATTTTGACAATGATGAGGGATATAATCTATTCCTAAATTTGCGAATCTAAATGGGTTGCTGTTGGCTCCTTAGAGACCATATTTAACGTTTAAATACCAAATCTCGACTTATATATTTTCCTAGTTGCGTGCTGGCTTGACGAACTTAATTGTTGTGTTCACTTGTTTTGATTCTAGTCTCATAAAAATACAGTTGCTATAAATAACATTTGTTATGGTCCTTTTTCCTTCTTTCAACTAATATGGGAGATGATACAGTTATTTCAGTTATTATTTCTTGGATATCTGATTTTTTTTTTCTAAAAATTCATAGAAATTTTCATGTCTTTTTAAGTACAACGCCCCTGGATGGAAGTACAAAAAGCGTAAACACCCTCAAATACTCATGCATTTTTAGGCACAATTATTTTTTCGAAGAATAATAACGTTTTCACATGAACTTTTACCATCAATTTAACATTGTGCAGCCTTTGATGTGCTTTCATTAAAAAATACTTTCAATCTCTTTTCATTTCATTGCGGATTTCGCTGTAGGTGGAAATGTTGTATCAACGCTATTTTCTTCGCATGAATCAAAGTAGCACCACTCACATTTTGGTACTTCTGCTGGCATTGGTTTTGGCCCTTTCCAGTGCCCACATTGTGTTTAAGACAATGCAAGTTCGGCGCAACATGGTGGCACTGAAGTTTCCTCACGTCGAGTCGAATAATAACATCACCGATTTCAGTCTGATGGCGCCCAACGCCAGTTACCCCTATTTAATGCAGGCCGCAACTCAAGAGGACTATCCACATTACGGGCGGCCGGAACGTGATAAACAAGCGTTGGCACAGGAAATAGAGGAATTCGATGCAACATCCGCTCTACAACAAATGGAAATGCCATATCATTTACCATTCAATGCTAAAACGGATATTGTGGCGAAGGCGTTGGTGGCGTCTGATGTAACAGCAAATTTTGATTCAGTGGAAAATAATTTTAACAATCCCGTGGTCTATGCCAAACAACAAATGTTAATTAGTGATGATGGTGATGATGATGATGATTATGCGTCTGATATTAATAATGAATTTGATACTGTTGAACATTTGCCAAGATACACGAATAGTCATAGAAGCCAAACATCCCTGCAGCCATCCAGTATAAGCCGGTATCGCTTAAGCAACGAAATAAACTCTTCAATGACAACGCAATTGTTCAAGCGACGTAAAAGGAAATCTGTCAAGAGACATCAACGAAAACATCGTTCCAGGTAAGTTAATGTAGCCACTGTTAAAGTTATCGATTGAATTATTTATAGCAGATCCGAACATTTGAAAATTCCTTAAGACAGATCACAGTCAACATAGGTTAGGTTAGGTTGAAAAGAGGGACGAAACAATCGCCAGCGAAATTCAGTTGCCTCAACAAAATGTCTTAACAGTTTTATTTAATTTTCCATTATCCGATTAAGGTCTGGCATGGAGTCCTAAATATTGGGATTTAATATCGATGGACATTGGCAGAGAAAAAACATTTTTGTTTCTATTTTAAACCACTCCACACATGGCTAGATCTATTGACTAAATGTTCGTAAATTAAAATAATAGATTTCACATTAATTATGTATGTGCTGTACAATGTTGTTACTCACATTTAATTATTTCAGGTAAACGGAAAATTGCGACAATGTTGTGTTGCGGTTGTTAGCACATTCGATGAAAATTTAATATTCGCTTGACAACTTATGTAAAATGCATTAAACTTGGATGAATGAAAACGTGTAATTATTTTTTTTTTTTTGTTCAGAGATGACAACCTATTTTTAAGCGGCTAAATGTGAAAAGTCAAATTACAAAACAAAAGTAAAAAAAACAGTAAAGAAAGTGCTAAAGTCGGGCGGGGCCGACTTTTTGATACCCTACACCACTTTGCTAATTTAATAGAGCTCCACGTAAAAATTAAAAGTTTTTATGGGAGAATTCAATCATACACGCTATGATTATAATTATAATTTAAAATTCAAAGGACTAAATGTGCCGAAGCATTTGTATATTTTAAATTCGGACTTGTATGGGCCATTTGGTGCAAAATTAATTTGAAATCAGATAAAGATATATATGGGAGCTATATCCAAATGTGAACCGATCTCGATAAAATTTGGCAAAGATATTTCTGAGCTGTATTTGATATATTTCCATGAATATCGTTGTCACGGAGTGCATATTACGGCTGTGGGTAACAAATATAACAAATCGGATAAACAATATATATGGGAGCTATAGCTTTATCTGAACCGATCTTCACCAAATTTGGCACACTACCTTCTAGACTCAATTCGGTCGTATGTGCCAAATTCCATCCCATTTGGACAAATATTAGACGTTTGGTGGACAATAAAAAGTAAATCGGACGAAGTTATATATGGGAGCTATATCCAAATCAGAACCGATCTCGATAAAATTTAGCAAAGGAATTTCTGACCTGCATTTAATATGTTTGCCCAAATATTGTTGTTACAGAGTGCATATTACGGCTGCGGAGGATAAAAATAACAAATCGGATGAAACATATATATGGCAGCTATAGCTATATCTGAACCGATTTCGATCAAATTTGGCACTCTTATTTTCAGGCCTAATTTGGTTGTATGTGCCAAATTCCATCCCATTTGGGCAAAGATTAGACGTTTGGTGCACAATAAAAGGCAAATCGGACGAAGATATATATGGGTGCTATCTCTGAATTTTTACCGATTATCTCCAATTTCAATAGGGTTCGTCCTTGGGCCATACAAATGATTTGTGCAAAATTTCATCTCAATCGGATAATAAATGCGACCTGCATTTTGTTCACAAGGATACATGGACAGACGGACCGACGGATTCTATGGATATCCTCAAAAGTAACTATGGGTTTATCTCGCTTCCTTCTCCATGTTACAAACAAATGCCCAAAGACATAATACCCTAACCACTATGTGGTGTAGGGTATAAAAACAAGTAAGCAAAGGTTATAGTCGTGCGGGGCCGACCATGTGATACCTACAACTCTACAAAATGTTAGAAGCGCCCTTATGTCCAAATCTATATTGCGGACATTTTTGAAAACAATAGCCCTAGCCCTTCTGAGCCGAGCCCTACCCTTGTGAAAATTTTCGTGAGGATCAGACGATAATTGCAATCTGTAAATATTAACCCCAACTTGTGTTGTAAGGTGAAAAAATATTACAAAATACACACTTCAATATTATAAGTCAAATTGAAAAATAATGTGAAAAATGCGATAAAAAATGTGAAAAAATAAAAAAATATCAGAAAATACTACAAAATCTATATTAACATCATTATTGCCATCTTTTTATGCGATTTTTTCATATTTTATTCTTTTATGCAAAGAGGGCATTCTAAATTTACAAAATATGTCAAAATCTGACCAGCCATTCTTCCTTTGTTTATACACATTGTATATATTTCGCTATATATATCCGATATATTTACTATCGGTATCTACGTAACGGTCGCTGGGATTAAAAATATTCGCGATTTAATGAAAAATCTGACTTTTCTTTAACACAAATGTTATTATCTATTTCACCCACTAAATATTACCCGATGATGGTCAAAATTGGAAGGCTTCTGTACAGCCCTAAGAGCTAGCCCCATGCTAACTTCCGCCGCGCCGATTGGTCTATAATTGCGACCTGTAGAGCAACTGCAAAATCAGGATTTTTTCATTTTTTGGTCCATTTCAACCCCTAAATATTATGCGATTATCTCCAAAAGAAATAGGGGTCTATTCTGGCTCTATCCCCACCTCCATTCTAAATTTCGTGAAGATCGGGCCATAATTGCGACCTGTAAAGTGATTACAAATTAACATGGACAGACGGACAGACGGACGGATTGGTCGATTGGTCTATAATTGCGACCTGTAGAGCAACTGCAAAATCAGGATTTTTTCATTTTTTGGTCCATTTCAACCCCTAAATATTATGCGATTATCTCCAAAAGAAATAGGGGTCTATTCTGGCTCTATCCCCACCTCCATTCTAAATTTCGTGAAGATCGGGCCATAATTGCGACCTGTAAAGTGATTACAAATTAACATGGACAGACGGACAGACGGACGGACGGAAATACATAGCTAGATCGTGTCAGCTCGGCGAGATAGGAAGATCCATATATACTTTCCTATGTGGGAAACCAATATTTCGTGGTGTTACATAATTTTTGGCCCAATAAAAATTATAATACCCCCAACAGGAGGAACTTGAAAAAAGTAATCTGAAAAATACCGCTAAAATGAAAACTGTTATAGGAGCAATACGACGACGTAAAAATATGGCTAACATATAAAAAAACATGAAATTGGGGTATATGCTTATGTGGGGGCTATACTAAAACGTTGACCGACATGACCCATATTTTGTACAAATGATTCTACATATAACCCATAGATACATATGAAATTGAAGAGCTCTTTCTTAAATTTGGTGAAATTTACGAAAAAGAACTATTTGCCTCCAAAATATTTTTTATTCACATTTTTACTGACTTATTTTTAAGCGATTTTTTGGATTTTATACTTTTCTGTCAATAGACCATTCCGCCAGCCTTTTTTGAGTTTCAAGCGCAGTAATCTTTATAACTTTCTTTTATACATTGATAATACAGGGTGAGATAAAAAACTGCAACAAAGTTAAACGCCATAATTTTTACATTTTTTTTAAATGTTATTGAATGAAAGCAAAAAAAGTTTGTTGGAGTTGGTTATTTTTAGATTTGTTCGAATATGGCCTTCAAACGGACAGTGAAACCGTCAGACGCTGCCCAAATGTTGCTCTGCTGTATTTTGGGACATTCCCGGCGAAGCGCTTGCTTGAGGTGATCGACACTATGGTATTTTTTATTGCCAACCTTGCTTTCCCAAATACTCCAGACACAATTGTCTAACGGATTGGTAACCGGAGATTTTGGTGGCCATTGTGCGCTGGAAATGAAGCGAGGAACCTCATTTTGTAACCATTCTTTCATTCGGCATTTATTCTGATGCCTCGGTCGATTATTACGAGCGGAGAGCGACCATCGGCTGTTATGGCGGCCCACACCATCAACATGGCCGGCGCTTGAGTTCTGGTGGTCAACCAAAGGTGCACATTTTCAGCTGACTTCTCTGGCAAGTTCACACGATCGTTTGTTTGCAAACTGTTGGACAACGAATGTTTTCTCATCGGAATAAACCAAATTCGGCAGTTCACCACTTTTGAAGCGAAGCAACTCTTTACCTCTTTTAAGTCTATTTTCTTTCTGTTTCGGTGTAAGTTCTTGTACTTTTTGGAATTCCAATAGCTTTACCCCGAACTCATTTTTTAATATTTGACGAATGGAATATTTCCATATGTTCACATCACTAGAAATTTTTCGGCCACTGCGACGCGGGTTTCGATCAAGTCACTTCTTTACTTTTCGAACCATTTTTGCTGATGTTGCTGTTTTCTTCCGTCCACTTTCTTGACGTCGGTCTACGCGATGGTACGGTAACGAGCGATGGTACGAGATGCAAAAAATGTATTCTTGTGGAAAATTCTCACGAAAATGTTTTTGTACATTTGTAAACAATATACTGATGTGTCACTGGAATAATGTTAACAGCTGTCAGACGAGTGACTCAGAAATGACAACAGTATAGAAAATAAAGATTGATATTTGTCTTTAAAATGTTGAGGAGAGGTACCAAAAAGATATCATGACGTAGCATATTTGCGCACAAATACTTCCTTCGAGAGTTATTGTGCGCATCTGTCGGCTAGAGATTGATTGTTTTCTAGGGTTTGAGCTGATGAGTTGAAGGTTTTAGACCCCTGAAGCTTACGTCAGTTAAAAATATGTATTGAATATCATTTTTTTAACATCCTCATTTTTTAGCATTTGCCCAGAAATAAAAAATATAGAAAAAGGCTTTTTTTATACCCTCCACCAAAAAAGGTATGGAGGGTATATTAAGTTCGTCATTCCGTTTGTAACTCATCGAAATAATCATTTTAAACCCAACAAAGTATATATATTCTTGATCAGCGTAAAATTCTAAGAAGATTTAGCCCTGTCCGTCCATCTGTCCGTCTGTTGTAATCACGCTACAGCCTAAGCGAATTAAGATAGGAAGCTAAAATTTTGCACAGATCTCTTTGTTGTCTGCAGGCAGGTCAAGTTCGAAGATGGGCTATATCGGTCCACGATATCGTATAGCCCCCCTATATAACGGTACCCCCCG